ATATATACTGACGATAGTGCCTGCTGTAAAACAACTGAGCCTAAGGTGAAAAGATAGTAATTTGGAGGTAACAATTAGACAATCGTCTAAGTTTAATCGCTAAACAAGACGAGAACCTCATCGTTTTTCCTGTCTACAATCTACTTTTCTTTACGCCCTTTTATCTTGATTAATTTATCAATTGTCCTGTCACTCGTTAAAAATTTCCGGCTAGATCAATTGCGCGAACTCTCTGTGTGCATGACACTGAGTTAGCGATTTCAAAAGTTGCCGCGCTGAAAGAGGTTCAACTGTTAGCCCTTACAGACGGTGTGATATTGTAGTCGTATCGGGCTGATTGCTGCATCGAATTTCAAGTCAGTCAGCTGGTGTTGTTGTTTAAAGGTTCAGAGTTTTGCCACCACTGCTCAATCAGGGATGCTATTCCGGGTTGCACAGGTCGTGTTGGCTCAGAGAATCTAGTGCAGCTTCCTTATCGAGAAAACTGGTGTTAGAAATCGTGTTCGTAGAGCTTCTCTTACCGTTGATCGTGTTATTGTGCCTAGTAGCAGCTAGACGTCTGTTGAGTGTTTGTGCAGCAATCACTGCAAAGGACAGCCAGACTTGTGTAGCGTCTGCGGTTGTGGTCCGTAACCAACAGGACCAATCAAGATGAATCTAGACTGTTTGCTCAAAGCTGCCCAGAAAAATACGTCGAACCCGATTCAGGTAAGGCTAAAGCAACTACCATAGAACGACTGATTGTCATAAACTGCAGGGTACGAGAAAATTATCCTGTAGTGTGTGGCAGCATTGGAACCTTTAGACTAGTCAGGTTTATCGTGAGCAAGGCAACGAAACGAAGATTGGTTCTGATATTGAGTGCGATTTGTTATTTGTAGTATAGCTATCTAGCGTCTCCGAAAACGAATTAATTGTTCCGTTACTTATAAGGAAAACTGCAACAAACGTGGAAACGAGGCGAGGTCTAGAATGGACCTTAGTCTACCATTCGCGCTTATCGCCTATGGACCTTTATGTTCCCCATTGCCCGCATGTGGTCATTATGGTCACATCTTGTGCTTGTAAAAATGCTGTTGTAATTTACTTCGAGGGTTCAAATATCATTTATAGAATTGGTGCTTTCTGCCATTGCTTTCAGATCTAATTTTTACAGTTTATGTAGGTTTATTTACGATTGTATTTAGTTTGTATGACGCATCTCCACCCTTTTTTTAAGCAGCCATTCGTTTATGACATCTGGTGTATGAGCTGGTTAGACTTAGATCGGCAGTAAAGGCCCTATATAAGGAGCAGGATCGTCGTCGCCGTTAGGTGCTTGCATCAGCGAAGTATTGCGGAATCAAACCCATAGGTTTTCGAAACATACGGATTACCAACGGGTGGCATTATATGAAGCAATTGCAATGAATAAATGAAGTGGCTTTGAGGTGGTTTTTTTTTGAGTTCATCGATTAGCGGTACGTGCATATCGACCTAGCTTCCGGTTGTAGCATCGTTCAAGTGATGGCTATGTTAGAAAAGCAGAGGCACAACAAGAAATGGTAATTTCCTTGATGCTACACGTAGTAGATACGGCGTATAAACTAACTAATTCTCTTCTTCGATCCGCAACATGTAATAGTCTCTATGAGTGAATGACTGCTCTGCCTGGTGGAGCTGATCTGTTCTGTGCTTCGAACTGTGGCTCTGTTGCACCCGTGACAGCCTCATCACTCATGAGGATTTCTTGCCTCAAGCTATATGATTGCTTTGGCAACTTGTATCTCTGAAGCCGTTTTCTACGCGTTAACAAATAACATGACGGTATACTGTTAGAAATGTGCCTGTAAAGATTTTCATGCATGTTATTTGCGGTCACGCACGGGCGCCCGTTCTCATGTAACTAGCGTCGCCTAATTTACTACCTACGTTTGTCAAGGTAACGGATGATAATCAAGGTTTCATTTTTTCAAATCAAAACAAGGTAATTTTTCTGTCTTTTTTTTTGTTTTTCTTTTTAGAAACGCTGCTCACTCGAGATCGGTCCTGCAAAAAAATTGCCGAAAAGCAAAGTTGACCCGAATGCGATTCGTGCTCTTCTGGAGCGAAAGGAAAAAGAGCGCCGAGAAGAGCGTGAGTATTCAATGCGTAGCTAATTAGTTGAATATTATTTAATGGTGTCGGCTAAGAAAGCCGTATGTTAGCCACTAACTATGATTCTGCTTTTAAATGTTTGGGAAACCACTTATTTTGCTAATGGGATGGTACAATGTTATTTTATGAAGGTAAAAGTATTTTTGTGTTACTGGATTGCAGTAGATAACGGGTCTGTTGTAAGTAAATTACATAGTCTATCGACGAAGTGACCGAGTGACCCCACGATAATAGCTGTGTTTATTTAAATCTATGCACTTAGACTATCACGATATTATATAAATAAAGCAAATATGGCTAGTTTTGTCCGAATATCGATGCGTTTCATTTGTTTTGCAGGTGACACGCTCATCTCAAAAGCAATAGCTTCGACAAAACGAGATGATATTCACTATAAAGATCACAAGGGCCTCCGGAAACAGGAACAGGGATGGAGTGACAAATGCAAACGCCAATGGCTCAAAGTCCAGCGCGAGCGACGTGAGTTCATTAACCAAATGCACCGGGCTGCTGATGAACGCGACAAACACAAACGACGTAAGTTTTCGGCAAGCCTTACTCCGAATATATTGTATATGAGAGCTACTTGAAAGGGTTTATTTGGGTAATTTGCTTTAAGGAGGACTTTTCTTAATTTCGATTGAGGGATCTTTAGCATAGCTCATTATGAATGTAGCTTTTCTACTTTTGGGAAATAAAACTTAATTATAATATGATTTTATAAGGCCTTATATACTGAAGGTGCATTTCTTTATATTAAGCTTCGTGGATGTTTCTTCGCCGCATAAAAAAATGACAATATCGGGGATTCACTAGGATTTTAGCGCTTTCTATTTAGCACATGCGTAGTCAGGTAATATTTTCCGCCCGTTGCTTGTTCTGATATTACAGCACTTGACAAAGAAAAAGTTATGCTTTCTGTTAAGAGCAAAGAGGAGCAGGCGAGAGAACGTAAGAAGCGGAAGCGGAAGTACGAAATCTTCGAAGGAAGCATGGATACGTCGCGCAGGAACAAAATTCGCCTCTCTGTAGTACCAGGCGGCGCTGGCCCGAGGGTCAGTGATATTAGTGAGTTGATGAAAATTGCCCAAAATAATGCCGAATCCGGTTCGTTTGGAGCCGACTGTAATCTACCGTTTGACCTATCGTCATTGAATAAAAACAATTCTGATGAAGAGCCACGACTTATGACGAACGCGGAGAAGCGCCGTATTGCCGAAGAGGAAGCTATCATGCGAAAAGCAGCTTCTAGCGGCAATATTCCGCGGATTCCGAAAATTGCTAGTGCAGCTGCTAACGGTAATGGAAGTGGTAAGCCCATAAATGGAATCGGCCGAATTCCCAAAAAGGGAGAACAGATCAATAGCAGCACAAATGGAGCTATAAAAAGCAACAGTTACAGGGAACATCAGCCCTTCTCATCCGCCTCAAAATCGTCTTCAAGGTCGGAACGGTCTCGCTCAGAAAGGGATCTTCACAAAGATTCAAAAAGCGGCGGTCACCGAGACCGGGAGCGATCGTCAAGCAGTAGTCACAAAAGTAAGGATAGCAGAGAGCGGATGGATAAGGATCGGCACAAAGACGTGCAGCGAAAAGAGTTTCGAGATCATAAAGAGACAAAGGATCGACATAGGGATCATGGTAAAGAGTCAAAGGAGAAATGCAGCTCCCAGAAGAGTAGCAACATCAATAGCAAACTTCTAGAAAACGGGCACTCACGTCAACATCTGAACGGTGCGAACTCTTGTAGTATTATTTAAACTTATAAAAATGTTCATAACTATGTAACGTGAAAAAACTTATAGATATTTATGTTTACACCTGTGGCAATCGTTGCGTACAGGAGTGGCTTTGTTTACTATCATCCGTAAGGTGAACGACCACGTTGTACTCCACCATTCTGTTTCAACCAAATTTTTTGTTAACTTCCTTATTTCTAGGCTCCGTCGCAACGTCTAAAAATAGCCAAAGCCGCGATACCGATCGTCTCGCTGCAAGCACAGAACAATCTTCAAAAAAACTTTCACAACTGCAGGTACTGTCAACTGGAGGTCGTGTTGCAGCCTCTCTTACTGGAAATAATAACCAATCAATGCCTGCTGCAGATAGAGAGCGGCTTCGCGCCGAGACGGCGCGTAAACTCGAGCAGCTGCAGAAGGAGCGGATGATGGCTGAAGAGGAAGAGCGTAAAAAAAGGTACTTATAGCAGTAATAATATTATTGTATTATGATTTATATGGACGTTGATAGATATACATAACGGAAGACGAGAAAGTTAGTGTTATTATTTTGTTATACCAAATCATTTCAAATTAAATCTGCACTTTATACCAATGCTTGTTGAATCGTTTTTCGGTTAGTTTAGTTTTGGTTTTTTGTTCAATATTATAGACTTGCAGCAAAGAAACTGCGTCAGGCTGAAGAGGCACTTTTGAAAAAGCGACTTCGAGAATTACAAAATAGTGGGGCAATGGACTCGGATTATGAAGATGATGAGGTGAGTCGGTTATATGGTTTTTTATGGCAGTTATTATTAAATTGATGACAACTATTCGTACTTGTTGTAAAGAGACTGGTTTAGTGTAAATCGAAAATAGCTTATTCGGTAACGTTTAGTCTCTTGAGGATAATAAGACTTTTGCTTGTGCTTACGATGCTGCGATTTCAGTATGACTATGAAGATGAAGATCTCGATGCATATGAAGACGATTTTATTGATGATGCTCCTATTGACGATCCCTATGCAAAGAACTATTCGAAGGACATTGCCAAGATCTTCAAATATGACAAACGAAAATATCAGGATATGGACGATGATGACATAGAGGAAAGCACATTCAGCCGCTGCATGGCTGAAGAAGTATGTATCGAACACTATATAACAACAACGATACACATAATCAACCAGCATATCCTGTTTTCAAATATAATGCTCGCCATATAACATTAGAGTTAACTGAATAGTGTGCAATTTTTGCCCACACTGTACAGTGTAATTTATTAGCAAAATTGTAGGCGTAACAAGTATCATGAATATGCGTTTGGATGAAAACCCTTTGCACCGAACCGTTTTTATATATTTAATATTGTAAAATTATTGATTATTTCTCAGGCACGATCGTCCCGAATTGGCCGCCAGGAGGATCTAGAAGATATGCGACGCGAACAGGAGGAAGAACTTCGAAAGTCCAAATCGAAGAGTCGGAAACTCGAGGAACTGGCTCAAAAACTTAAACAGAAAAAAAAGCTTACTTTATGTCCGGTTTGAGGGAGCGCGATACAGTGCCCATATTTGGTGCTAGTTTTCAAATAAGTTTTACTGTTCGCCGCGAAGCCTAATGGATCAAAAAGCAAGCCGCTAACAGTTAACTGAATCCGTGCCAACGGATTTAAACTAAGTAGAGAAACATTTCGACGGCAAATCAATCTGTTGAGACAGAAAATGACACGTGTACAGTGAGATAGGCGATTAGAATGAACTAATTCCTTGTTTATTTGTTATAAAAAAATTCTTATATTTATATCACATGGA